TCATCACTGACGACGATATGTTGGCCAACAGTTTGCTGTTTCTGATCGCCGGCAATGAGACGACAGCCACTCTATTGTCGTTTCTGTTGTACGAGTTGTCCGTCAATGAGAACTGTCAGCAACGGCTGTACGAAGAGATTCGTGGCGTTGAAGGCGACTATAGCTATGAGTCGATCGCACGGATGCCCTATTTGGAGGCCTGTGTGGCCGAAACACTCAGGCATTACCCGCCCAATCCGGCCATCACCAGAATATGCACCAAAGAATATGTACTAGGTACGTTTATTTCAATTTGATTTATGTATATAACTTATAAATAATTTATAAATATTAATTTATATATTATATAACTTATAAATAAAACATTATGTTATTATTATTTAAATATGATCATGATTAACAAACAATTTACTATAAATTAGAGTGTTATAAAAATTGGTCTCAATAGAAAACACCACATGATCAATATTATGAATATTAATTTATTGTGGCTATTATGGTTAATTTATTTGTTTGCTGAAAATATAATTTTATAATAAACACATGTTTTACAGGCAATACCGGCTTAACAATACCAAAGGGAATGACAGTCAATTTTGACGTGTATGGCATACATCACAGCCCAGAGTATTACCCGAACCCCGAGCGTTGGGATCCCGAAAGGTTCCTCCCCTCAAATCGTGATCAATTAGTGCCCTATACTTACCTGCCTTTCGGTTTGGGTCCACGAAATTGTGTGGGAATGAGGTTTGCGTTAATGCAGGCGAAGACTACTGTCGCGCAACTCATCGATAAATATCGCTTCAAACGTACGGCTAATACACGATATCCGCCGACATTCGAGATGTTTGAGTTTGTGTTAACGTCTGATGACATCAATATAGGTATTGAAATGAGATGATGTATTGTACTGTACTTAACCTTAATAGAATTTTTTATTGACCATAAGTAATATTTTTATTTAATATTGTTTAAATAATGTAATTTATTTTCGTTAAATTGTTATTTTATTATTTACTAATATTGTATGTTTCACAAATTTTTATTATTTTGTTCCATCTAGATAAATTATGCTAAATTATGCTAGAGTATTAATGACATTAAATAAATAATAACAAATGATTGCAAAATAATTGTATATTTATTTAATAAATATCTATGTATTTCAAAGTATTATTTATCAATATTCTTTACACATCGTTATATAATAATGCACGTTATTTATTAGGGAATTAGAATATTCCGTTATTTGTTAAGCTAAGTACAAGCTCATCAATGTTATTGATAACAGGCTATAACGCATGTTTACTATGTTTTTATAACCATAGAGTAATAATTAATATGAGAGTTATATAAACTAAAATGAATGGTGGTATTTATTATTTAAACTAAATTCAATAGTAATTTTCAAAGAAATATAATTAATGATAATTATTTAAATCTATTGTATATTAAATTGAATTATTTAAAAATACATTTAATATAATTTAATAATAAAAATAAGTGTTTTGTTAATTTCAGAGTATAATGTTGGCAAATATGAAAAGGTATGTTGACTATAAATTATGAATAATAATTGTTTACTTAATTAACACATATTTCAATTAAATTCTTAATCAATTAAAGGTATTTCAAGATTAAAAAGAGTACTAAAAATGATGCGAAAAGTATTAATAGCGTTGAGAAAGTGTTTGATTTAGAAGAGTTGGTGATTAAGATCTTCTCATACCTCGAGATCCATGAGTTAATTGGTTTGGAAAGAGTCTCAAAGCAGTTCCAGTTTTGCGCCAACTATTGGTTCCGACAGCAAAAGACAGTATCATTTAATGACAATTATTGTGGAATCTATCACTTTATGCCAGACATTGATGTCATTCATAATTCATATGCTTTTCCGCTGAGATATCTTCAGACGAATGCTAACCAAAATCCATGTCTTATGGAAAACAAACACAAAATGATTTGGTTGTCAAAGAAATTGCCAAACATTGAGTACTTATGAATCGGTCACTTAGAGTCAGATTACCAGACATTATATGATATTCTCAAAGCGTTTCAATCAATCAAATGGTTAGAAATCCTGCGATATTAAGAATTTTACGGCTCAAGAGTTGGGACAATTGGGACAACTGTTGTCGGGAAGAGTGACTAAATTAAATGTAAACATTTGTAGCAATCAATCAGAAAATGTTATTCAATATATGATACGAGAGATGAATGGTTTAACAAAATTAATGATACATTTTACTGAACGCCAAAATTTGGTAGAATTAATCAAATGTTTGCCTCAAAGTGTGAAGTCTTTAAGCATTGAATCCGGATATAAGATTATAATTGACAATCAATTGGTGGCAAATCTATTGGATAACAATTCAAAACATTTGCAATATTTATATCTTGAAAATGATATCATAACTAAAGAGCCACTGGAGCTCATCATCAATGGTATGGCATTGAAAGGCTTTTTATATACTTTGCGAGATTCAAATCAGTGGCAATGTCTGCAAAATGTGGCCCAAAAACAACCAAACCTGGAATTTTTGGGTCTCTATTACCAGAATTTTCTTGATTTTAATCACTCAATAAAATTGATACAATTTTTAAAAGTAAAAACCTTTTATTTAAATGCATGCAATGTTGAAGAACCGGCTTTTGTATCGCTATTGAAATTATTTCCTGCACTGAAAACACTTGTCTTATGCAATGTTTCCATCAATTGTGTCGTCAATGAAGACAACGACGAAGAATATTCTGTGAAATGTTTTCGTCAAATGTATGGTTTGATCGCAAAACACACAGCGATTGAGACTTTGGGTCTTTATTGTGTGGAAAATACAGCCGTTTTGTGTGAAACCCTCAATGAATTTCACAATTTATCGGCCATTCATTTGAATCATTACATTGAATACAACACTGAAGATTATGTAGTGTGACCAACCGTACACTTTTGAAGTGTACAGTACACTATTTGAGACTTCTGTACACTAATTTCAGACTGTACACTATTGTACACTTTTGGAAAATATTTCTA